GGCATACTAGGTGGAAGGCATCAGGAGCCCCCTTTTGAGATCTGCTGCCCTCCCCACCAATCCCAGAGCCACAGAACACACTGGCATGCCCCCAAAGTCATTCTATTACATCCTCCTGGTGTGGGAGAAAATGTCTTGGCAGAGACTGATGCTCAAGGTCCCACTGTCACAAGAGGTAAGGGTCACTAGCCTACTGCTCTAAGGAAAGAAAAAAAGCCCAGCAACTAAAGCCTCCCAGTCACTGCCATGACATCTTGTCCTAGGAAGATGTCTGGTCCCAGCAGAGCGCTGCCACTGTCACTGAAAGGTCAGTGGCCTGGCCAGTGGCAGAGGCAGGCTGGTCCTATGAGACTTCATCCTGCTGTGCAGGGAAGTTGAGGACCCTAGTCCTCATGGCTGGTCTGTTAATTACATTTGCAATTATAAACACCACAACCTCCCTGTGCAGGGACCAGGCCACATAAGCCAGGGGACAACCGACATAATCCTTCCTACAGGCCAGCTAACGCTTATAAGATCCTACTCCACAGGACGACCAGATCTATGACTATTCCCCAGAGGCTGGGGTTTGCTGGGACCAAGAAAAAGGAAACTCCGGAGACAAAGCTCTAGCAAGGTCACCAGCACAGACATGCGAAGCGGATCTATCTCTAGAAATCAGTGATGTGCTGCAGGGGCATAGGCAGGATGTTCAGGGAGCCTCGGGGCTCACTGGTCTGGTGGGGGCTCACGGTCAACTTCATAGCTGCAGAGCCTGCGTGCATGGCCCACACACCCTTCAGAGACTGCAGCAAACAGAGGTAGACCATTCTAGCTGCAAGAGGGTCCCCCTCAGTGTAACATTTGGTCAAGAGCTACTAGAATCTGAAGCAGAAGCTCCAGGGCGGCTTAAGGAGTGCTGGCTGTTTTAGGCCAGGATCCTGACCTTTGGAAAGAATACCCCACGGGTCTACCAGCTAGAACGCTGATGATGGGGAACAAACACGTGAAGGAATGCAGGTGTTCGGGGTGGGGTGGGGTTTGCTTTGAAGAAATGGATTAGGGTCTAAATATCCACTATTTTTTCCCTTAATTTTGGAACCAGAAGAATTGTAATCACTTTGAAGGTGTCACTTGGAAAGACCTGCGAAGGTAAGTTGAAAAGAAAGGCGCCGAAGAGCCAGGTCAACCAGCACGCCGTCCCTGCTCTGGGTGCTGCCCACTGAAATCTCCCTCCGGCACCACACTTGCACACCCAGCAGCCGCACCACCTGCCCAGGGCACGAGCTCAACTCGTGTCTCCCAGGCTCTTGCCTTTGGGGCCAGAGCTCAAGAGAAATAAGGCATTTTGCTGATGATTAAAGGAGGAGATAAACATATTCAGTGAGTTTGGATTATCTTTTGAAATCATTCAGCAAAATGTCCTATTATAGGAACTCGATGGGGACATGCAGGGACAGTCACAAGAGGCCCTGAGGGAGGGTCGGGAGCACTTTGAGAAGGTAGGAGTGACATGAAATCTCTGTCATAGTCACCTCCTTTGGAGGGCTTTCTCCGAAATTCCCCGTCATCCTTTTCTCTTGGACTAAATGGAATATTTATTGATTACTTCAAATCAATACAACAAAAAGATTCCTGTTTGGTGGGTCAGGTCGTACCATCATTTTCTTTTCTTTGGTAAAGAAACACCTTTCTATATACTCTATATATTCAAATAACTGGTAAAATAGAGGATGATTTCCAAAATGAAAGGAGTTGGGAGAAATAATCAGCTCCAAGAGGAAATTTCCAGGGATGGCAGGATCTCACTGAGCTGGAAAGGCCCCTAGCCAGGAATGGGCCGACAACACTGACCAAATATTTTCTCTACCTCGAGCCCCAGGGCTCAGAGACTCCCACCTCCTGTGACCCACCCTCTTCTGTAGCTACCCACACCAGCAGAAGAGCTGTGGACACTGGAAGGCTCATTTTCTAGACCCCTCCTCTTAGAAAACCAAGACTAATGTTCTCCATCTGATTTATTTTTAAATGTACCATTAAAAATTAATTTCCCCCTTTGTTTTTCTCCAGGTCACTGATTCTGAATTACCATGTGGCATTTTTCCTATGTGTGAACCCACATATTTTACCTGTAGGACAATTTGTTCTTTGTTCCCTTAACAACGGCAAAATGGGCATCGGACGATGGTACCCTGCCATAGCCCTGCTTGGGTTTTGTGCCTGGGTCCCCAGCAGGTCCCATCGTGGACACGTGTACACACGCACAGGGAGGCAAGCACACTCACTCCCGCGCTCTGATTATGTGCATAAAATATTGATCAGGAAGGGTAAAGGAGTCACCTACAGGTTTGGCTACAGTAAAATGAAAATGAAGATGAGAAAGGTGGGAAGGCACAAGAATGCTCTCAGAGTGTGTCACTTCTCACCTGGGACAGCAAGAATGACACTGAGCTTATAAAATAGCCGGTTGCAGAAGCAAGAGAAGGGCTTCAAGGTTCTTCCTTCCCACTGGTGCCTGTGCTCCAGTCTTTCCAAGTCTGCGAACATCAACTGACCTGCCTGGGCAGAAACTGTGCCGAGCACAAGAACCCCCTCCTGGCTACGAGGGGCACCGTAATAAATGCTTTCATCTTGCCCACAAACCAAAACACAGCCCCTTTTACTACTTTGTTACTGATGGCTCTAATGTCACCAAGCCTGTCATGGGTGGAAAACAGAAAAATGCGGGCCACAGACACCAGCCTCTGCCCTCCAAGAGCCTGACCTTGGCGTGATGGCTCCTGCACCACGGAAAACATAAACCTTGGTGGGGAGGTGTGTGTCTGTTTGTGGGGCAAGTCGCAAAGCTTGGAGAGAAAGCTATAGGGACACCTCATTCCCCACTGGAAACAGCAGCTGTATTTTGGGCTTTTCCTGAGCCCCATGGAGGGAGAAGCTGATGGTGCTGGCAGGAAAGGTGAGAAATCAGAACCACTATCAGTTTAGAAATGATTTCCACTTCAACCTGAGCATCAGCACTCAGGACCCCTCTCCCATATCCCCTTTGCTGCCCCCTGACATTCCTTCTCTGCCCACATTCCTCCTCTAACTAAAGTCAGGGTTCCTGTCAAGCCCAGAAGTACCCAGCTGCTAAACCTTCCATCTCTCACCATGTTGCCTTTCCTGGTCAACATGATCACAAGAATGTCCTCCCTACCCTCCGTGTTTCACAGATTGCCTGTGACTTGAGCCAGAGACAAACAGATATTTTAAGCTCAACTAAAGAAGTCACCTCTGAAGAGGAGCCTAAATAATTTAAATAGCCAATATTTGTCAGAGTTGGTAATTTCATGTGAGATGTCCCACAAGCATCACTCTCCACAGCATCCAGCCCCTCCCCATCTCTAGGTTCCCCTTCTATCTTCCACTCCCTCAAAAAAACCACTGCAAAGTGTGACCCCACCCTAGCCCAGACAGCTGGGACTAGTATAACCTTGAAAAAGAAAGAAAAGCCACTTTTCCAGCTGAAAGAAATCCGAACCCATTATAATTAGGGATTCCCCTCATGTCCTACCACAGTGCCTTTTTCTAACATGACAAAGTGCCTAAGTTGTCGTGGACACTAAAGGACCTTGTGCCTGGGGAGCTTCTAAAGCTAGAACCAGAAAGCTCTGTGGGTGGAGGCAGTCCAGTCATCAACACAAGCTACCGCTATTTAGTTTTCTCCTCTCCCACGCGCGAGGCCACCGCTGATGGAGGCAGTCAGGGTTGCGAGGCAGGGGGTTAGACACGTCCAGAACCCCACATGGTCTTTACTTCAAAGATGCCATCAATGGCGCTACATAGGTGGATGTAGTTGTACAAATTTGAGAAAGTGATGAAATCAGGGAAACACCGACTTTGACAGTTTAGTTTGCTTTAAGGGGAAAGAAAAGGAACAGGTACACAAAGTTAAGCAGGAAAGCTGCCCGCGACAATGCAAAGTACCTATTTTTAAGCCATCCGAGGGACCGTTCTGTAAGAGCGCACCCAGGCCCCAGGTCACTTGTCCCTGAGCGCCGCGGGGTGGGGGCGCTCCGGAAACCCGGGCAGGTACTTGGGCAGGGGGGTCAGTGCCGGGACAGACTGCAGGGCGGGACAGCACAGTGGCCAGGGTGGAGCCCAGGAGGGCCCGGGCAGGATGCGTGGGGCAGCACCTGCCTCTCGGAGAATCGGTTCTCCACTTTCCCGCTCGGCGCGCTCAGCGTGCGCCCGGGTCCAGGAAGCCGCCCGGCGGATGGCGGAGCCGTGGCCCTCGATTCTGGGACAACCACAGATTCTGGGCAACGAGCCCCAGGCTTCCCCAGCCCAAGTCGCGTCTGGCTGCTTTGAGGTTGCAGCCTCTCCCCAAACTCCATACTAACTTCGGCTCCGCCGCGGCAGCGTGAGCCGGCTACCTAAGTCCTGGCGGTGCCGCGGCTCCTGCGCAGGGCGAGCACAGCGCTGCGTGCCCCAGGCCGCTCACCCGCACCCTGGCTCCTGGGCACCGCAGCCGCGTGCGCACCCTCGGGGCGCCCCTCGGGGACCTCCCGGCAAGCGTGCCGGGCCGTCCAGTTCCAATCAGTCGCGGAGCTTTAAATTTTTTCCCCCTTCGCCAAAATTATTCTTGCACTCTGGCACGTACACACAGGCGAAGCGCGCAGTGACGCTTTCGCTGACGGGACGGACCCTCCCTAGACTGTGATCCTGCACCTGTTCCGGGCTTCCGCCTCTCCTGCACGGGAACCAGTGTTTCGTCCCCGAAGAGCGCAGCCAGCGGATGAGAAAACGCTACACTTGCCTGAAAGTGAGGGCTTATAAAGGGGTGCGGGAAAAGTTAGAGACGGCTGTGAGCCCGAGAGAAAAACCCAGGACATGTGAGGCTTTTCCCCTCCTGCGTCGCCTGAGTGCTTCGGAGGCCCCTGCCACTTCAAGAACGTGTGGAAGAGGAACTGCGACACCCAGGACAGAGACAGCCAAGCGGCAGAAGGACAGAGGGATAGACCGCAAAGCGAGGCACCTACTGGTTGTGGTAGCCGAGGGGGTCCGGGATGCAGAGTTCCGATACGTCCATCAGTCCCGGTTTAGCATTCCCAGTTGGCGGAGAAAGGCGGCGGGCCAATCACGCGGCAGACAGTGAAGGGCACTGGCGAGTGCGAGTCCGGCAGGGGCACCGCGAGCACAGCACGGCGAGAGAGGGAGGGAGGGAGGCCGGGAGCCGTGCGCACCGCCCCGCGCTCCCACTCATCCGCGCGCTCGGAGCGGAGAGCCGGGCAGAGGGGATGCGGCGCCGCGGAGCAGGCTGGGGCACCCGAGACGTGGAGCCCACTAACCCTACTGTAGCTTTAAGGCTGAGAGACTGATGTGTGGTTGGGCTCCCATTGGCTATCTCTCGGGGGCTGGACTTACAGTGACGGAATCGGGCCGGGGAGGGGGAGGGGGCCAGCCGCGGAGACTTCAATGGAGCAAGGCGCGCGAGGTCCCCACCTCCCGAGGAGCAGGAGGGCTGGATTGTAGAGCCCTAAGGCTTGGGCTTCAGCGGATAAAGGGGACAGAAAAGGTCCAGCTGCCTGATGGGGCTCGGCTGGGGGGCGAGTTATTGCTGTTCTGTTCCCCCCCCCTCCCCCGGTTCTGCACCCGACCGGCAGACTCACGTCTCAGCCTTTTGGAATGGGTTTGTTTTCCCGATTAAAAGTGAGTCACATTTCCAATCCCCGTACCCTTGAGAAGCGACCGGTGCCTTTGACATTCACAGCCTCCAACCTTGTGTTCGGAGCCCAGACGTGCAGGGGGCAGATGTAGGTGAGGCCCAACCGAAGAGTGAAAGAGGAAAAGCTTTCCCGCCCGGCTTCCCTCACCTGCGCCAGTCCCTTCAGAACCAGCGCTGGCAGAAGGCTCCATGCGGGGCGCACATCCATAAAACGCTGTCCGGATGTCCGAAGTGAGGCACGATTCACTCCGTGGCAACTCTGAGCAAGGACCCAGGACGCAGGCACCACACATAAATCCCTGTCTGCTTAGGAAAATGTACCCTGGTTAAAACTCCCAACGGGCACAAGCAGACATTTTCAAATACACACCTGAATCCTGGGCTACAAACACCTGCATCACATCGCTGCTCCATGAGCCGGAGTATTATGGGCTGCCACTGTACCAAAATGAGCTATAAGTCAAGCCCCAATCTTTCTGTGGGGCTTTTCATCTTTTGAGATGCACCCGCCAAAGGGATAATAATCAATTTGATGATTCAAATGAGTGTGGGGAGGGGAGTAGTTATAGAATTATTTAAAAGGGGGAAAAGCCCTCAGGAGAGCCCACCACCTTATTCTCTTATAGTCTACAGACAATGAGCAGTAGGGGGGAGGACATAATTTTATCAAAATAATGTCTAAATGGAATGTAACTGCAGACAGTGTCATGCGTTTCAGGAATAAAGCAGGGAGGGAGGTGGCAGGGAACTCCATGAGGGGCAGCCTCTTGGGGGAGGGACTAGGGGAGTGGGCAGCAGCGTCGCAGATGATTCCTGACTCCCATAAATGTCGCTGTGGGGGCTGGGGGAGGAGCGGAGATTTTTCATATGTGTTGAAGTGGAGGAACGCATAGCTTCTTTGGCTTAGGAAAGTATGTCTGGGAGAGATGGATGAAGATGCCTGCTCTGCCGGCAGACCCCCAGCAGTCTCAGAAAAAAAAATTAATAATGCAGGTACTTTGTGAGAGACAGAAAGAAGGGTGCATAGATGTTTTGCATGAGCCTGGCTTCTATAGGACCCCTGTCTCTTGCCAGGACCTCAGTAACTGGTTTCTCTGCATCCTTTTTGCCCCCCATAGGTACATTCTTCAAGCACACAGCAGCCAAGCCCGGCTTTCTAGCATGCACATGAACTAGCCCCTTGTTGCAGTTGGAAACGAGGCCCCAGACTTGACCTACAAGGAAGGCCTCACATAACAGGTGTCTGTGGGTCCCTCTGCACCCCACCACAGCCCTTGCTGCATCCCTTTAAACCCATCTTTGCACCTGCCACCAAAGTCCCCACCTTCAAGGTACCACCAGAGCCTCCTGCCACTCCTTCTACTCCAAGTAGTCAAGCTGATTGTATACGGATTGCATACCCTTTGCCTTCCACCTTTACCTCACTGGGCAGTAAGCCCCGTAAGAGGAGGGGCTGTTTCTGTGCTGTTTCCCAGCAGAGTTCCCAGTGGTCTACAGGACCTGGTCCTTCCTGAATGCTGGGTAGATGCTGCTGAGTGCACTGGAGACTGCAGCAGTACAGAATGAGGAATCAGGTGAGGGACTGGCCCAGGTATGGCTTAGGCCCAGGCAGGTTTACAGAGTCAGCGGGCTCTTTGTGATGTGTAGGAGCCAGAAGGCATCGCACACTCGGTAGAAATAGAGGTCCCTGCAGTGTATGAAAAGAAAGACCACCCCAAAACCCTGAATGGTGGGTGTCAAGTCGCCCAGTAACACCATTCACAATTACCCAGTGCCTCCAAGGTCCCGGGACGAGAGCTGAGGGCCTCACTTCCAGGCACTAGCGGATTATTCTCCAGAGCCGTAAGGAGGTTCTTGAGGCCCCTGGGATCCCTCCTCAGTCCTGTGCCTGCCCAGCCTCCTCCTCATAGCCCTGGTCCTTGTGCTTTCTCCTGGCCCTACCAGCAAAAGTGAGTCTTCTCACTTTAGAGGAGAGAGTTGGGCAAGCAGGCCAGGATACCACGGTGGCCTGACCCAGCTCGGCAGGCCCAGGCGTCTCCTATGATACCAGGCAAACCTGGCCAAGTCACACTGCATATGAGACTTGCTTTCCTCATCCCAGCCTCAGCTCACCATGGAGGGCAGGCTCCTCCCCATAGCCAGGGTCAGGTGCCGCGCCTCTTGCTGCAGAGGCCTCGGTGTGGAAATGTACTGAGGACTCTGGGATCTGGTCCTGACTTTGAGTGACCTTGTGAAGGTCATCTCTTCTCCAGAAAACAAAGGTGTTTCAGGTGGCACAGTGGGGCAAGCAAAGTTCTTGGCTTCCTTCAAGCTTGGAATGTATTCAGCCAGTCATGATTTCCCATCATAAACGCTACCCTCCAGCGAAAGTTCTGAGCCACCCTTCACTACCCTAGCCCCACTAGTGACACCCTAAGTGGGCAAGGCAGCCCAAAGGGAATAGGACAGAAAGCATTAGACACAGTGATTGCACAGGATAGAGGGTGGCAGCAGCTTACTTTGTTTTTGTGACAAACTCACTTAAATAGATATTTATTAATCTCACGAAACTTTACAACTAGGAATGGCTCACCTCCAAGAATTACAGAGTCAGTCCAGCCAGATAGCTCAGCAGATTAAAGCACCTGCTTAGGTAGATGTGGGGGCTGGGGGTTCAGTCCTGCCTTCCCCGCCCCATGGGCATACTGAGACAGCAGCTGAGACTGGGCATGGTGGCATGCGCCTGTAATCCCAGAGCTTGGGAGGCTGAGAGCAGGAGGATCACTACAGGTCCCATCTGTATAGTGAGACCCTGTAGACCCTGTACTAAATACATTTAAAAAAAAATTAGAGTCTTCCACTTGTACAGTTTGGCATGATTTTTTCAACTTTACTATCATGCAAAAGCCATTCAGATTCCGAACAAGCCCTACTTCAAATGTTGCATTTTGCTCTTCTCCCTGCCTTGGAGGCACGCAGCCCAGGGTTCCCTTGAGGTGCTGGGTGGCAGCAGCGGGCTGCAGCTCCCGGTTGGTTGCGAGGTTGTAGGGCAAACCATCGTCCACAGTGTAGTGCTGCTGTGACGTCTGGTAGGCTAGGCGTGTTCATTTGGGGTGTTTTCAGCTGGATCGTTTCAGCTACGATGGGTTTACAGAGTGTAACCCTATTGTAAGTTGAATGATGTCTGAATTTAGAGCTCTCAAAAAGTTGAGTTTGACAGGGAAAGAACTCTGCATGTCTCTTGTGTGGTGAAATGACCTGCCCGAGGTCACGCAGTGAATAACTGGCAAAATATGCCATTGGTGGCCTCTGAGTCTCTACTTGCTCTACGAAATCTTTGTTGGCAGGTCCCTTCCCCTTCCCTCACTCCTTCTTTCCTGAGTACAAGCTCTTTGCTAAGGACTATAAAGCCCCCAAAACAATCCCGAGAGCATCTCCTTCCATAGACACTTCACCTCATAGACAGTGAAGATACAGCTTTCTGTGTCCCCAGATAGTTTCCTAGGAGGACAAAAGGAAGCCCTGTCTGGTGGCAATGAATTTCCTGACTTCTTGTCCTGCTCCGTGGCAGGTCCTTAGGAAGCAGAATCACACCAGCACAGCCCACTCTGTTCCCCAAGCCTGTACTGCCATAGTGGCAAAGAGTATGGAGTAGATCCTAGATCTGTGCAGACACAGATCCACATTGACCGCCCACCCCTGATTTCCCTTCCCCGCCTGCCTCAGGCCTCAGCGTGGCTGTCTTACTGCCTGCTCCTCTGGGTGGCGTGGTCTTCTCATGATATGAGAACCTGACCTCAGCACAGCATCCCTTGCCAAAGATCTGGTGAAAATCCCTACCCTTCATCGGGCCTGGTTTGGGTGGTATCTTCCCTCCCTTAAATCAGCTTCCCTGACACAAGGCATTTTTGCACAAATAAGACAGAAGCAAGCAGTGCTTGGAATCTCTCCTTAGTGGAGGATTTTTCTTCAAGCCAGGGAGCTCAGCAGGAGGCAGTGGAGCCATGTTAGTCCATTAGAACAGTGGACCTTCTGACTTAATCCATTCATGAGAAGACCCGTCCAGCCTTTATGGAAAGCCTGGCCTCTGCTCCTGGAGCCCAGCAGGTGCAGGAATGCTAGGTGTGTGATTACACCATGCCTGACCCCACCTACACCCACATTCCGTGAAGCCAAGTTTCCAGGTGGGAACAGTGCCTTGGGAACCACCCCACATGTACTACCACTTCTTACCAACAGCCCGGGAAGGGCAGGGTGCCTCTGTGGAACTGCCTGAATCTCCAGCAGTGCTTGCTTCTGCTCCACCCCGCAGTGAGGGCTGCAGAAGGCGAGTCCAGGCGGGGCATCCATTGACAGTCCACGATGGCTGACTAAGGTGGTTCAGGCTGGAACAGGGAGCCTAACCTGAGCATCTCTGGGGACAGTGCTCCATGGGCTCCTGGCTGGAGGAATGTCCCTGGCCAGACACCTTTGTGGACCTGCTGTCTCCTCACATGCTTCAATTTGGGGTGCAGGGTTATATCCCCAAGTGTTGGCCAGCACACTCTCAGCCCATTGGCTGGCACTCATCCGAGGATCATAATTAACTGATAACGCTAATACAATGTGAGTTTGTACTCCATAATAGTCTCCTGCTGACAGATAAATGC